CCACTAGGGGTGGGCTACTCGGTGGGCTCTCTGGCGGGTCTCTGGGTAGCGGTGGTGGTTGCGTTTCTCGATCGTGCGGATTGCGAGGGATGCCGGGGCGGCAGCCACTGGGGGTGGGCTACTTGGTGGGCTCTCCGGCGGGTCTCTAGGTAGTGGTGGTGGTTGCGTTTCTCGGTCGTGCGGATGGCGAGGGATGAGGCATTGGGAGGCTCTGTTGTCTTCTTCGTCACGGCTGAGGAGGTGCCTAGTTCTGGTTTTGGAGTTCTTGGCTACACCGCGGTGACTGGCTTAGCACCTGTTTGGCTGGTGGATGCAACTAGGCGAAAGCTCTGTGCTTTGGCACGGACGACGACGACGCATGTGGGTGCCACTCTCCTCTTGAGGATGTCGTCGCAGTTGCTTCCCTTGTCAGTGTTCCAGGTGAAAACCTTATTCCGCTTCATCGGACGCGGCGATGGCTCCACGTGGCACTGTTCCCCATCTTGAGGGCATTGCCTGGGGAGCCTAGGAGTTTGTGGTCGTTGTCGTATAGTCCTTAGGTCCTCTTGTTTTGTGTATTCGGTGACATGGTCTTGTCCCGACCGATATATGTTGTCCGTTATTTTTGAAGTTCTACTTTTTTTGAAGGCTTCCTCTCCATCATCGCATCGTCCGGCTGCGTACTTGTGGTTGGTGCTTTATATATAAAGCTGGGCGAAATTCTGTTTCGAGAGAATGGATTTGAGAAATGAAGTTCAAGGTCAATTGATATAGCGGACGATTTTTGTTGTGTAAACGACCGCAGATGTTCTAGCACTGTTGCCATGACAACGCCGGGTTTAGGCCAACTCCAGCGCGTGACCCCATCCTGTCCGGATGCGTCCGTTTGGGGTAAAACGGACAAACCAAACGGCCCAGCGTGTGGCCGCAAATGGAATTTTGCTAGTTTTATGCCCGCTTTCGACCCATCTCCGGCCCAAGTTTGGGCTACTTTTGGGGTGAAACGGACAGCTCGTGGAATGGCGGGACACACGCCTTGTCCTCCCCTAGCCCGCCCATCAGTGGCACAAAGAACCACCCCAGCGCCCCATTTCGTGCCATTTCCCCCCAACCCTCCCGTCGACCCGCCAGGAAAGGTGAAGAAGGCGGCCAAGGGTCTGAGGAAGCCGCGGTCAGAATGCACGCCAGAGGAGCTCGCAAAGATGGACACGGAATCGGCAAAGAGGAGGAACCGGAGGGCGGTCATCAAGGGCAAGAACACCGCGGCCAAGTTCGCCGCCGAGCGCGATGCGGTGGAGGCCGCATGACGCAAGGCTGAGATCGACGAGAAGGAAGACATCATCAACAAAGCGCACTCCCTCCTCATGCTTGGGCTTTGCCATACGGCGGGTTTATCTGGAGCGGCCGTCGGCCCGGCGAGCAGAGCCTCTTCGGTCACCAGGACTTACCACTGCCGCTCGCTGAAGTCGAGGACCACACATTTGTCGTCCGGTTTTCCCCCGCCAAGGCACGATGGCCAGAGCCGTTTTTCGGGGTCGCCGGACGTTGGCGTGATCGCACCGTCCATGCCGCGCCCCTTGTCCGTCATCGACCTCGACGTCACGCCGGGGTCTAGCAGTGGCGGTCGGCCGGCCGTCGAGATGCAAAGAAAGCAAGCACGACCGCCGTCTACGGGCACCATGCTGTCGCCCCGCGTCCTGTTCAACGAAATGCCAACACCAATGCCAATGGTCAACGACCCCTTCTACAACCAGTACATGGAGAATGTCATCTTTGAGGGTGGGCATGGCGGTGCCTACGATCCCGAGGAGACCCAAAGTCAGGATGGTCGCGCCCAGTACATTGCCCATGAAGAGGCCCACGACCATGCTGACTACGACCATGGTGACTCGTGGCATGAAGATGATGACATCTATTGCGAAGGTGATGGTGATAAAGAAGAAGGTATTGATATCGGGGGCGAGCCATTGTTCATCGACGAGCTCACCGAAAGAGCAGAAACACAAAAGAGGAAGAAGAGCATTCGTACGGGTTCATACTCACAAGAAGAGGACAAGTTGATTTGCCAATGTTGGATGGAGATTAGTCAAGATCCGAAGACCGGTGCGCAACAAAAGGGACTTGTTTTTTGGGCGAGAGTTCACAAAACATTCCATGAAAGAAAGTTGTTTGCGCCCTACCAATTTACGAATGACCGAGGCATCACCTCGATTCAAAAGAGGTGGTTGTTCATCCAACAAGAATGCAACAAGTATTGTGCCGCACTTGAGAGCGTTGAAGCACGGCCCGTGAGTGGTCTCGGCATTGGGGAAATGGTATGCTCTCCTCATCCTATTTCTTTCGTTGCTACGGCCACGAGACTTCGGCCTTCTATATGTTTGTATGTTCAATTGTTGTTGGTCGTGTAGGCATTTCAATCTTTGAAAGCATTCAATGCCCGGCACAATGGCAAGCCATTCACTCTTACGCATTGTTGGACGATCATCAACAATTGCCCTAAGTTCAAGGATCAATACCGTGAACTTCAAAGGAAGAGAGGCAAAAAGACGGCCGCGTTGGCTGGAGGTGGAGATGGTGAGGTGTTGAAGAGGCCGAGGGGCAAGACCAACTCCAAGGTGTACGACATATGTGATGTGTCATCCATGGCCTTGCATGAGACTTTGCATGCCATGATGTCTCAAAAGTATGTGAAGGACGAGAAAAAGCGACACAGTAAGGACGAGCAAATAAAGCAATACTAGAGCTTCAAAGGAAGAAGCTTGAGATGGAGGAGGTGGCTAAGAAGAGGAAGATCGACACGGAGGAGGCGTCCCGGCAAAGGTAGCCGGCAAAGGCAGCTCGACATCGAGGCCGCCAATGTCACGGCCAGGTAGAGGCAGCTCGACATCAAGGCCACCAATGCCGCAACCAAAGCAAAGGAGGTGGCCCTTGCGATCATGAGCGTGGACTTGACCAAGATGAGCGAGAAGACGAGGAGCTGGCTCGAGGCCAGGCAGAAGGAGATGTTCGACGCCGACGGCCTGAACTAGGTCGTCTGATCGGCCGTGGCCGTTCTTTTTGGAGGCTGGCATGGGTGCCGACCGCTGGCTGTGTGCCGGCGAGAAACCTATTCATTTAGGGGGCTGGCTATGTTGCCGGCCGCTAGCTGTGTTGCCGGCGACAAAACTATTCATTTTGTCGGTTGACTGTGTTGCCGGCTAGGACGTGTAGGCCGCTGGCTGTGTTGCCGGCGTGAACTAGGGCCGCTGGCCTGAACTAGGGCGTGGTTATTTCGAAAGTTGGCGTTTGAAAAAGGAGGTGGATAGGATGCGGTCGGGATGTGTCTGCGCGTTGGGCGCACGGCCACCGCATTCCATGACAGGTCTGAACACGACCACATTGCCCTACCCAAATGGACAGAATCCGGGCAAAACGGACGTCCATTTGGGTCATGCGCTGGAGTTGCCCTTATCTTCTAGATTCACTAGATTGTTCACACAATATGCGTTGAACTGCTGACATATATACAGAAAAAAGGGACTACATTCATTCTACCGGTATTGATTTTTATATTTTTACCTTTTTTTGAACGAAAAGAATGCCAGGGGTAGCAGCTGGGCCAGGGTATGTAGCATTGATCATTGCTCTCCCGGCATAGTACTACAACAATCCAACACAAAGACACTGGAGCAGCTCTCTCTCTCTCTCTCTCTCAGTATTCCATCCATCCGCCGCCGGGGAGCCACCACCCCGTCCGTCGATAGGCTTCCGCCGCTGACCCCTTCCTCGACGGCGGCCACCTACTGGTAAAGCCTACTTGGCGGCCACCGTCGCAGGTGCCCATCTCTGCTCTTTCCCTTCTTGTTTCGTTCCTTTTTTTTTTCAGGGAAGAGATACTCAGATCGAATTCATCAGTAGAATATATAGCCTCTTGTTTGCTTGCCAGGTTGCCCATCAATTGGAACTCACCATCTTAATGTCTACTCCTAACGGAAGGAGTAGAATATATAGCCTCTTATTTTTGTGTCAATTTTGAGGATAACGAAATGCTGTTCATCTTGCGGTTAGCCGGCTAGATGTTCTAGTCGTAACACAGGATGTGCTAGAGGACCTAGCTTCTTTTATTAGTGAGTAAATATTCACCTCAAGTAGAGTACCAATTGCCATATGTTGTTGACAGGTTATTTGGTTGGGGAACACAATTACAGTTTCATGTCCTCAATCTAAATTAATTGTTTCTCACCGCAATAGTCATGATGTTTTTCCTTTTCTTTTATAGAATGTAGAAAGACTGGCAAAAGCTGCAATGGAAGTGAACTCACTATCTCAGGAAGCAACCATCAAGACTGCTCTGCAAGGCGAGCTGGGCGGCTAGAAGTGCGCAGCTGACGCCTTCGACGGCGGCTGTCCTCTGCCCCCATCTCCGCTCAACACTCCAGTTTTTGTCCAGTTTGCAGGTGCCTCCTCTGCCATGCCCCCATCTCTGCTCCTTCCGTTTCTTCCTGTTTTCTGTTGTTTGGTACTAGCTTTTTCTAACTTGCCATGGCATCGTTGAGCAAGTTTCTTTTACTGAATTTAGTTAGCACTTTGACATATAAAAAATACTATATAAATTGGAAAGTGCCACCTTGTAGATGGAGTGCACAATTTGATATTCACAAGAATTGTTGCATGATCTGATTAGACATGTGGAGCCTTTTTCTGTTTGGTTGTCTTCTAGTCATGGACTCATGGTTCATGGTGACACTACCTTATCTTGTTATTTTTTCACTGTTCCTTTCATAGATCAACAGCTGCTGAGCAGGCGGTGAACTCGAACTGTCTTTGCACTTGCAACAACAAGAGGGGACAGATTGTACTAGTGAAGAGCACACAGATCGAAGGAGAAGATGGAGTTTGTAGTGGGTGCTTCGGAGGCCACCATGAGATCTCTCCTAGGCAAGCTGGGCAGCCTCCTTGCCCAAGAGTACACTCTGATCCGTGGTGTCCGCGGCGACATCCAATACATCAACGATGAGCTCGCCACCATGCAGGCCTTTCTTGGCGACCTCGGCTCTGCCTTGGATGACCACGACTGCCGGCTCAAGAGCTGGATGAAGCAGATCCGTGACATGGCATACGACATGGAAGACTGCATCGATGACTTTGCCCATCGCCTCCCTCAGGACTCTCTCAGCAATGCAAGATGCTCCTTCATCGTGACCATAGTCTACGAGCTGTGGACGTTCTGGCCTCGCCGCGACATTGCTTCCAAGATTGCTGAGCTCAAGGTCCGGGCACAACACATTGCTGAGCGGCGCAGCAGATATGGAGTAAACAACCGAATCCCAAGAAGCTCTAGAGCCGGAGCAACCCATGTTGTTACATATGTCATTACTGAGCATCTGATGGTGAGCCGCCAGTTAATCCGAACGGAGAATCCCGTGGGAGTGAAGGTGGACATGGAAAAGCTCGCGGATTCGCTAACCAAACGTGATAAAGGCTCTCATCGAGCTGTTGTGTCCTTGATTGGATTTGGTGGTGTGGGAAAGACCACCATTGCCATGGCACTGTACCGAGATTTCAGGAATGAATTTGACTGCCGGGCATCGGTCACAGTATCTCAGAACTTTGACGAAGATGAAGTCCTTAGGGATATTCTTGGTCAAATCAAGCCAACAAATAGTCAAATCAAGCCAAAGGAGGAGAAGGAGGGCAGCAACATAGGGAAGTTGGAGAAGAAAAGCCTAGTGGCAGATATTAAAAGCTCAGTGAAGCGAGTTGTGCCACTGCTCGCTGGTCACAAGCCGCAAAGCAATGATGGTAGCATGAAGAGTAAGATAGAGTGAATGAACCATGACCAACTTATCGAAGAAATCAAAAAGCGGCTGGATGGAAGGAGGTACCTCCAAATCATAGCTTTGCTTTTTCTATATATAGTTGTTTAGCATACAAATCTTATTATTAAGTATGTGCAATGGTACTGAAAAATGGGAGTTTTTCTAAGAAAGAATAAATACAAAGTTATGTATTTAGTGGAGCCTTGCTAATTAAACACCAAAATATTAATTTTGTTAAAGTTGCACAAGGAATATTTGTGCAAGTTTTATAACTGAACTTCAACTTGTTACCAATAGTAAATTTAATACCACTGCACATATATAGAACCTACTCCATGTTTCCAAATTAATATAAACACCATTTCTTTCAGTTAAAATAGAACCCAGTCTACTACTTAACTTGGGTCCGTGTCACAAGCAACGCCAAATCACACACATTTTATTATAAATTTGAATTTATGCAACATTGAGAAAAGGCAGCAAGTAACATACTAAACTGGACCTAAAAAGTTAGAAGTAAAATATGAACTATATCCCTCCAATTCATCAAAAGATGGCAAGTTGAACATAGGTCAGTTCATACTTGTTGTGTTTGTGTTGAATTTGAACACATATAGGTTTACTCTTGGACTGTTGAGAGGTTTCTTTTGTTGTTGTGAAAAATTCCAGTACGGTGGCCTAACCCCACATGAATATTTTTAACGGCACAAAAGCACATGGGTTGATTAGAGTAAGAGCAGTTAAGCAAAAGCCCAGCACAAAGGGCGAACAACCAAAAGCCTGAGCCCAGCACATGGGTTTCTTTTGGTGTTCCTTTCGAGCGTCTTTTTGATCGTTCTCCCGATTATTCGATGCTTCGCTTGTTTGGTTGTGTTTGCTATGTTCTTCTTGCCCCTCGCGAACGCACCAAACTGACCGCTCAGTCTGTTGAGTGTGTCTTCTTAGGCTACAGTGATGAGCATAATTTGCTTTGCTGCTCGAGACTCAAGAGACGAAGAACTCTTCTCTGCTATGCACCTGAAGCTCCTGCCCCTCCCCTCGCGTCAATGGCGGATGCTGCCTTTTGGCAATCTGCCCCCCCTAGTTCAGGTAGTTCAGGTGTCCTGCTAAAATCGTTCGTGTTCTTGATTCCATTGGGAATGCCCATACTAAAATCGTTCAGGTGTCGTACTAAATCCGTGCCGTACCGTGTATCTTGCTGAATGGAATTTGTAACAAATTATTACTGTTTCTCTACCAATTACTGTGCTTAAGAAGAAAATAAATCAGGTTGGTTGTCAGGTGTAAAATCAAAGGCAATAAGCTTCAACCAAGATGAACCAGAGTAATCATCAAAAGCAATAAGCTCCCCTACCATCATGACTCGGTCAAATCCATGATTAAGTAGTCAAATTTTGGCAGTTTTCTTTTGTTCACAGTTTTCTTTTGGTCCGAGTTTTGAAGCAGAGCAGACAGTACCTCCCAAGCAGACTCGATTTGCTTCCCACGTATAATTCTAACTGGCTTGGAATACGCCTCGACATTTTTTGGAAATCTTCGGTTCTTGATAATGCTTCCATCTGCAAGTTTCCACATAGCAAGACCATCACCACAAACCCAGGAACGATATGATTTCTTACTTCAGCTGCCGTTTCAGATGCTAGATAAGGGCAGTTTGCCCGCTCCAGAAGCACCGACCGGACTATTTCAGAGTTAATTCCCTCGTCCACCTGATACAAAATGAGGAAACAACGGGTCAGTTGAAAAGGGCATGGAATTTTACTCACATACAAGTTGTATAACCATGTTGAAAAGAACATGGAATTTTACTCAGTACATCCTGAGAGGTCGAAGTTCTTATTATTCTCAATCAGTATTTGGACCTGCACAAAATATATTATGAGAACCTCTATATATGATGATATTTGCAACTTCAACTTCCCTTACCAGTACATAAGAGACCCTTCTGAGTGCAAATGGATCGTTTGAAGAACTTGGCTGACATCCAGAGCAAAACAGACCCGCTAGGCTGGGAAACTCTGTTGAGCCCCAGAGTCATAACCTGAACTTCCTCTGTTTTTCTGAACTCTGAATATTTGCATGCAGTTAGCTTTCTCTGCTTTTGCTCCGTTTTCTGAAATCTGAATACTTGCCTGCAGCTTTAGGTTTCGGGCGTCAGGTCGACCCGGCCTTGACAGAAAATCTTGCACCTATAGAAACCATCCGGCTTGATGGTGAATCTATAGAAACCATCAAACCAAGCAATCAGTATATCCAGTGGTGCTTGCTTGAGAGTCACACACCAGTCCAATCCAACTAAGCATGTGCAGATCAGGTATATGTAGATTATTGAAGAAACCACACAACTTATTTATCCTTCATGCACAAAGTTTGTGGCAACCCCATGACCACACGCACATGGAGCTTGTAACAAAAACACTTGATTGCCAAACACAGGAACGCAATAGGAAACAAACACACCAAATGTTGAAGAAACCACACGAACGGAACCACCGACTACATCCCTTTGCATGAGCTCCATGCGTTGGGGATGTACAAAGAACGGAAAGGTATTTCTCAACACCCCAATGGTGGAGAACGCGGTTGCAAGGCATGCTGGCGTGGTGTGGTGGCTTGGATGTGGTGGTGATGCGGCGGTCATGAAGCTGTGATGCGGTGCGGCAGCCCCACCGATGGCGATTATTGTTGTTGTTGACTTGTTGTTGTTCACCATGTTACAAAGCCTTCTCTTTTGCCGGGCATATGAACTTGGCAAATCATCTGTGCCACGTGGCAACAACAACGCTGTTGTTGTTCCGGCTGGGACACTCAGCAAATGCGCGACAAAAAAAAAACTCGGCAAGGAGCCCTTTGCTGGAAGTGTGTATGCCGATTGTAAACTTCGGCAAAGCCTTTACCAAGTGTTTTTCATCCTTATTTGGCACTAAACTAACAATTCGATTCCAGTAGTGAGTGATACACCGGGCACTAAGCAATACACACCAACTCTATAAGTCAGGTTATAATTACCAGAAAAGGCTCAGGTTAAACAATGTCGTTGCGTTGCTGATTTCTCTCGGAATCTGTCCTTCAAGCTTGTTTGATGAAACATCAAGTATCCCCAGATGAGTTAATTTCCCTATACTTGATGGTATTACTCCAGTTATATTGTTGTTTGATGTACGTAGCACAGTAAGTTTGTAGCACTCACCCCAAAAATGAGATTATCCGTCGAACAATTTATTTGAACTGACATCACTATAGAGAAGATTTGGATAAGCTCCCATCCCGGTGATATCTCCTTCAAGGTTATTTCGTTCAAGTCGAACCCTTACTAGGATCTTACAACTTAGCAAGCTTGATGGTAATGGTCCAACCAAGTTTTCGCCAGTAGCAGACAAATGTTGTAGCTGACCATCTGGTAGTGGTAGTAGAGCAGGAAGGAGATGTTGCAAGTGTTTTTTGGTGGGCTGTGTTGGGTTGCTGCCGTCCAGATTAAGGGCTCGGTGGGCCTCGGAGCGCCGACTACGATCAGCAGTTCGCACCTACATGTCCTCGCTGCTTCATCTGGCGAGGAGCCTGACCCTGAGCTTGGGCTCGGCGGTAGGATTGCGGTGCCGGCACTGACTTGGACGACATGGCTCCGGCGCACGCGCTCAGAGCCTGATCTCCAGCGTGGACATGGCGGTATGTGACAACAGTTCTAATATGGGCTGCTTTAGTTATTTGTAGGTTGTATATAAACTGAGCCCGATCTCTAGATTTACTAATTAGCCAATACTTTCTGTCTCAGGGCCGTTTGGCGAGCCCGGTCTTGTACACGGTGCTACTCCAATGCGCAACATCTTCCCTGCTTAACCGCCCTCCGGCCACGCCGCCACCCTGCAGCCCTGCCACCGTGCCGCAGCAGCCACTTAGCCGTCGGACCGCGCAGGGCACTGAGGAGGATGCCGCAGTGGCCATGGTGAAGGTGATGCAGAGGCAGAGCAATGTGTTAATATGAGGGGGCCAATGCCCCCCTCCCCAGCTTTGAACCAATTTTTGAAAGAAAAAAGGGAGGGCTTACATGGGTGTAAATTGCAAAAAACCACCACAATTGATGACTTGTATAATTTACTCATTCCAGCCCTTTGCCTCAAGATTGGAAATTCATAAAAGTATCCTTCTCTTGTTTTGGAAATTCAGAAGTGTGTTTTCCCCTCTTCAACACAGCGGCCGGAGAGGTCCCGCACGCATTGGCGGTGGGGCTTAAGCCGTTACATTTTGGTACACCCAGCCATTAAATCCTCGAAACATGATGCAAGTCTAAGGTTTGGTTCAGAATGCAAATCCACTTCAGACGAATTTCTTCAGTACGAGTATATATTCTTCAACGCGTAGGCTGAGTTACCAGGCAAATCACATTGGGTAGTTTCCTTTCACATTCTGGATTACTTCCGTTTGAATTAATGTTCCTTTTTTCAGTAAAACTGGAAGCTATTTTTCTTTCTCTAATGCAGATATGTTGATTGGGAAGGGAAGAACAATGTGGAGACTGACACTGATTGTAACTTGGATAAGTACTACAGTCTTCTGTTTGTGTATGCACCAGGGAAGATGGAACATGGTTACATAGTTTGTATTCGATCGCTAACCTCTTGGTAAGTATCATAACACTCTGTAACTCCAATTGTTCTGCAGGCAAGTGTGACAATATTCAGACTTAACTGTCCTTCCCATCACAAAAGGCACTTCAATTTCTCAATCATGGTGGTGTTGCCTGGTCTTTTATCTCATGGTAAGTTATACAACAATGTGCATCATTGTAGATGCATCTGCTATTAATGTCATCAAAAAAGGGAGAGTTTTGAATCGCCTTTTCGCACATTGTCCAGCTTTTGTACATTGTTTCCAGTGGTTAATAGACTCTGATGAAGGTCTTTCTATGCTTAGAATCCATTAACATTTTCTACATTGGCCAGTCCTCTGTTCCACACTTCCACTAGACCATCTCCGAATGGTCACATATTTCACACAACATGGCAAATACC